CAACCCTCGGTGTTGCTCCCGTGCCTCGCTCAGCCAGTGAGCGGGAACCGGTCTGTATGTGGGATCCGAACCCTCGGGTGGGAGCGCCGCCGCGCTTCCCAAGCGGCGCACTATCCAGTGCGCCACCGGGCCGGCCCGTCAGTGAATCTTAAAGTGGAGGGGCCTTTAAATGGGGAAGTAAGTTACATTCTAGTTGTACTGAAGAGAGCACTAGACTAGAAGCACAAAAATTTGAGTCTTGGGTCCTGTTCTGCCAATTCCTTGGGCATATGATCTTGGATAAGAAACAACTCTCTCTTATTTTTAGTTTCTAATATTAAGAAAAGAGATAGCCATCCATTTCCTGTCTAACTATTAATCACTGGTTTGCTGTAAGGATTAAATAGGATAATTTGCTTGCAAGTGAAGTCTGTAATTAAGAGGGTGAAATACAATTCCCAATAGCAAAGCACCCGTGAGTCACTGTGTGTGTGGTACTTTTTATACTACAGCTAATGCGGAAGAAAGAATTTTTTTAAACTGGGGGAGACATGGAACAACTATGCAGAAGAGGCTTCTGCAATATGAGGGAAAGGTATCCAGGCATCACTTAGCCTAGAGGAGCCTTCTTCTTTTAAAGCCACAGACATCTATTAAGATTCCTTTCATCACAGTTGAAGTAAGCATTAGGTGAAGCATTTCTGTGGAATGCATCAAAGGTCATATTTCCAGCATTTCAGCATTTCATGGATCTGGTGCAAGAGCCAAGGAATAAGAATAATTATGAAAGTTGAAATATACTGTTGAAACTTTGTGCAATACAAAACTTGAGACTACTATAGACAGGAAGACTGGAAGGTATTCCAGCATTTTATATCTGCTTTCATATTAGAATGACTTGTCCAATGTGAGCAAAAGTGACATAGAACCAGATAAAGAACAAAGAGGATATATTCAGAATCAGCCCATAGATACACATTGGCAGCCCAGCACAGTGGCAAAGCCTAGGCTTTGGAGTCACACCGGCTCCACGTAAGTAAGCTATCACACACTCCACAGTTTTGGTTCTGGGTAGCACTTAGTTCTTTTCAGGAGATAGCGTTAGGAGGAACACAGCTTTAGTTTTTGATGAATCTGGCTGACATTGAGTCCTAGCTCTGCCACATGAGTTTTATGACTCTACTTTCCATACTTGGTTAAGCCTCAGTTTCCTCATCTCTAAAATGGTGATAGTAATTTGAACCTTGTAAGGTTACACTAGAACATATGCACCATGAGGGCAGTTTTGTTTTGTTTCCTGTTTCATTCATTGTCATATTCTCACAATAGATGCTCAGTAAATATTTATGAAATTAAGGAATTGGGAAATGATTTGAAGTAATGTATGCAACATACCTAACTCAATACCTGGAATATACTAAGAATTTTTGTTATTGATTTTACATTGTTATGAATTTTAAAATATCCTTTTGGAACTCACTAGCTCGAAAACACAAGAGAGTTTTCACTGTGTCCTCTTTCCTACCTTTCAAGTCATATACCACATAAATGTGTTAATTAAATTTTAAGAAGTTAATTAAAACTTAAAAAGGCAAAAGGTCCTCTTCAGGGAGTATCTATAGAGTAGAACCCAACCTAGTTAAGCTGGTGGCATTTGCAGTCACTGCCTGATGCCCCCGTAATGGTTAAGTAAGTAGCCCCTTTCCCCTGCTGCCTGCCATCCCCTTATTATAAATCAGCTCCATTTCTGTGCGCGTGGGCAGCCCTTAAAAACATGGGACATTTAAAAACTCTATAAAGATGGCAGCTAGCAAGATGTGGGGGCTGGGTCTCTGTCCCCAGAGTGCTGGAGGACAGAACAAAGGGAAGCTGGAATCTGCATCGGAGGCAAGGGAGGGTTTAGGAAGTAAGGCACGCCCAGCCTAGGGAACCCTGGGCTACGACCAGCAGCAAGATGGAGTCACACTGGGCAGGGCTGTCTGGAGACATTCCAGCTAGAGCAAGGGACTGCAGGGAGTAGAGCAGGAGAGGCTGAGGGAGGAACTCTGGGCTCTCACTGTAGAGGGTGATGCACTAATAAAGCACATGCATTTCACAGGGCCTTAACGTTTAGCTTAGTAGGGCCACAGCCCTTAGCTGTTAGAAGGACCACAGTCCTTAGATCAGGCTGTAACTTAGTAGGATCTTTATCTTAGTAGGACCACAGTCCTTAGCTATTAGAAGGGCCAGAGCCCTTTAGTTTAGGCTGTAGCACAGTGGGGCCACAGTCCCTAGTTTTAGCAAGGCCAGAGCCTTGTAGTTTGAGGAAGAACCTAACCTTTTAGTATTGCACATAGAAATGCTAAGTTTGGGAAAAAACAGAAAACTTTCACAGGACTAAAAAGTCTCTGGTGTGGATATGAGAATTGTAACACAGCATAAGTGCTTGCTCTAAGGGCAGACACCCTTGGTGCAGCTAAACCAAATTATGGGAAAATATGTGCACTGAAAGCTTCAAGGCTACTCTGCCAATTAGCGGCTGGTTCCACATTTCACCTTCAACTGCTTCTCTAAGTTTCCTAGGGAACTTAGTGTTGCCATAACAATTATCTCATTGGTTCTTTTGTATGTCACATAGCTTAGTTTTATGACTCCTTTGATGGTAAATTGCTTAAACTATTTTTAAGTTGCACCTGCTTTAAGGAAAATTGTTATGTAGCCAGTTTATGTTTTCACTATGACTGATTAACCACCTGGGTTCTTTTCTGTAACTTTTTGCCTGCACAATAAAAAACCGAGAAAAGCCCTGATTCAGGGTCATTTCCCAGGAATTCCTTCTCTCTTGAAGAAGTCGTCTCCTGGGATTTAACCCCTTCAGGCCTCTCACTGCTCAGGAAAAATGGGCTTTGAGTAATCCTTTGCATCTCCATCTCCGTCACCCCAAGGGAGAGGTGACATCTCACACTCCTATTTATTACAACTCACCTATTGAGAAAGGCAGAAAGGCTTCTCTTTTCTTAAACTGTCCATTCTCCAGAAAATGCTCGGGGTTGAATGTGTCAGGGGTGGCCCACTCTGTGGGGTCCCTGTGCAGCGCAGTCAAATTGGTCAGGATCGTGGTCCCCTAGAGAAGGCAGCAAAGACTGAGGCAAGGCTTGACCCACTCAACACGCCTACACAGGGGGGCAGTGGTCCTCGGGCTTGCATGCCAGGGCCTGACCACACCCTGATCTCCTCCACCCTCCTTAACCCACCCACTGCTGAGCCCAACCCCCCAGGACCCTCTGCTTTGCTGTGAGACAGCTTACAAATTGGATTGGAATTGCCTGCTGGGAATTTTACCAGGGAAGTTTGGTTACTCTTGATTGCAGAATGGATCTTCTCTACAGGGACAGGTCAGGGTAGGACTTGGGAGGGGACACGTGTGCATTGATGAAAGAAAATGCAACAGCTGGTCAGTCCGCACTGTACCACAGTCAACCCAGATGCTCAGTGATGTGGTAACTACAGCAGCTCTACAAAGGTACCCAGTGTCTCATTCATCTCTGTCTCCCATTCCCTTCCCTCCAATGTCTAGTACACTGCACCCCACTTCCCACAGCAGGTTTAATAATAGAATCAGGGAGCCCAGTGAAAGGACCCCTATCCATCCCCTTCCTGAGCAGGAAACTCAGGTGTCACCAGAGTGAGCCTTCATCCAACCCATCAATGATACTGCTCAGTTTAACTTTGAAATTCTCTTGATTCCATCACCTTCATTCCATGTCTGCCACTGCCACCTTAGTCCAGGCTGCCACCTTGCCTGCCTAGACTCCTGTGGCAGCCTCCCAACTATGCCCCACTCCTCTCTTGCCCCTTTCAGTCTGCCCCACAGACAAAGTGAGCTTTGAACATGACTTAATCATGTCACACCCTCCACCAGCAACACCTCGAACTTGATGCCCTTCAGTGGCTTCCCATCACTCTTAGGTAAAGATCCATGGCCCCACCCCTGTCTGGGCACTGTCACCTCTGCCTGTGCTCCCACTGCAGTGGCCGCCTTCCAATTTCTCAAACATGCCACATTCCCACTCATTTCAATGCCTTTTAAAATGCTGCTGGCCTTGCCAGGAATGCTCTTCCTCCCCACTTTGTCACCGAGCTAATTCTTAATCACCCCCAAATCCTCAGCACAAACATCACTTCCTTTTGGAAGCCTTCCCTGATCACTTGTGCTCCTACGACCCCCAGCCCATCTGCATCTTTATAGAACCCAGTGAGTATTTCCCTTTGGGCAGTTTTGTACTATGTACTTGTATGATTATTTAGCTCAGGGTTGTTTTTCCAGACCTGAGCATTTCTGGTACTTGATGAATATTTGTTGAATTAATAAAGAATTTTGGGCAGTTTTGTACTATGTACTTGTATGATTATTTAGCTCAGGGTTGTTTTTCCAGACCCGAGCATTTCTGGTACTTGATGAATATTTGTTGAATTAATAAAGAATAATAACTGCTATTCTGAACACTTTCTATGCAAGTACTAGGTTAAATGCTCTACACGCATGTTCTCATTTTACCTCCACATGGATTGTGTGAGGTACGTTTAAGTGCATTTTACAGATCAAGAAATTGAAGCTCTGAGAGGTTAAATAACGTGCACAGAGTCACATAGTGGGAGGAGGTAAAGCCATGATTTGAATGAGGTCTATTTGATGTCAAAGCCATGGCTCCTAGTCTCTATATTAGATTTTTCAGTTTCCAGGATGGTTATTCAAGGTGATGTTAAAAATCGGTGGCAGAAGAAGTCTGCCAAGCTGGGCTGGCTCCACAGAGTTAAATGAATTGCTAGAAAAATGCAAACAGCGCTGGGGAATTTAGACCTTAGCTTCCACCCACAAGATGGTCCATCAGTAAGGAAACAGTAAATGCACCAGCTGCATTCCTGGCTCTGCGGGGACGGTAACCAAGCAGTGGCCAATGAGTAAGCTGGCCTTACCTCTGGAGATCGTCCCTGGGAAGGACACATTCGGAAGACACATTTATACAAACCAGAATAGATCCACAGAGGCTGACCAAGGAGGGGAGAAAGCACTGGAAGGGACTGTAAATGTGCAGTGTGGAGGGAGGACGCTAGGGGGCAAAAGAGAGCTATCCGCAGAGACCACAAGAACGGGGGTGGTGTGAGATCAGGATTACGTTTGTGAGGACAGGGAACTTAACAGAGACCAGTTGACAAACATTGAGAGGGGACTCTTTTAAAATCAAAGTAAAGCAATTTCTGTGGAGGGAACATGGCATAGTACAAAAAATCTAAAGCGATCTTGTTCTGGATCCCAATTCTATCACGTTGTAGTTGAGAGATCTCATGCAAACTTAATTTCTTAGAGCCCAGGCTTCCCAATCTATAAAACGGGAATAACAGAGTTATTCTAAGAACTGAGAAAGACATTTTGAAAGAAGCCAGACGGTCCATGACACATAATCGTTGCTTAATAAGTGTTTGCTCCTTTCCCTCCCTTTCTAATAATTAATATTGCACATACTTGGATTGGCTTCCATGTGCCATTTCCCCACACCAATTCCCCATCACGGGGCCATAAGTAAAATCCCCTTGTGCCAGTTCCCCATCACAGGGCTGTAAGTAAAAGCTGGAAAAATACTTGTGGGGATATTATGTTAGAAACACTAGCATCAACGCAATGTTGGCTCAGTTGGTCTTAAATGTCCTTTCACATTTTAACATTCTATAAACCCGGAATTCCAAAGCAGAATTTTCCAAAGTCTGGTAGGTCCCAAGTCCTGCAAGATTCTCTACCAAGGCAAAGAAAAGAGTTCCGTGGCAAAGTCTGACTGAGAACTACTGCCTGCTGTGTGCCCACATTCACAATGCACAATAAAAACACTGAGAAGTCCCACAGTACAGAAAAGCCAGTCTTTGCCTAAGTATTTGACCTAGGACCTCCCTTCTCTACCCTCCACCATATCTATTAATATCTATTTAAACTGATGTCCTAGAGACCACACATGAGAAAAAGCTAATATTGTATCAGGTATAATATATCTCTCTCCCCATTAAGTGATCCCTTAGGACAAGAATACATGTGACTTTTCAAATTCAGGTTCTTTCCACCTAAAAGACGGGCTTGAAGATCTGCGGCTGGGAGCCTTATTACCTTGGGCAGGTGGTATCCAGCCAGAGTGGTATCAGCTGTCGCTTCCCTGGGAACGTTCAGGGGGATGATGTTGCCCATCCGCTGCACCTCGTGGATGACGGCATTGGTGTAGGGCATGGACTCTCGGGTGGCCGTGCTTGGCTGCCGCCACTGGCCAATCACTCTGTCAATCTCAGCATGTACTTTTTCTGGAATAGAAGAGGAGGTCCTATTATTTTTTAAACTCTTAAGCTTTCTTTCAAAGATGTGGGAGTGGTCTTCAAGATCTCACCTGTTGTATTTCAATTAGGTTGCAAAGAAATAAAAAGATACTTAACACTTCAAAGGGCTTACTTAGAAAACTGCCAACTCCATAACTTTCCTTGAGTCTGGTTAGGCTAAGGAATGGAATAACCAGGATCAACATGGTTAAGCTCACAGAAGGACCTTGTGTTAGTCTATTCAGGCTGTTATATAAAAATACCATACACTGAGTAGTTTATAAACAATAGAAATTTATTGCTCACAGATCTGGAGCCTGGGAAGTCCAAGATCAAGGCACCAGCTGATGTGGTTTGGTGAGGATCCACTTTCTGATCCACAGATGGCACCTTCTCACTGTGTCCTCACATGGTGGAAGGAGCGAGGCAGCTCTCTGGGGCTCTTAGAGACACTAATTTCTCATGATGTAAGATCAGTCTGGTTGCAAACTCTTGCTCTGCAACAATGCTGCTGCAAGTTACTTAAATTCTTTGAGCCTCAGTTTCCTCACCTGATTGGTGAGGATAAATCAACTTTCATCTTAGTATATTTTGAGATTTACATGAGCTGATTTAGGTGAGCACCCAACAAATGATAGAAACTTGTAGTTGCCCCCCAATATCTGTTTTAGTTTTTTTCCAGAGTTATAGAGATTCCAGCTGGATACCTAGGTGTCCAGCTAAAGACTACATTTCCCAGATTAACTTACAACTAAATGTGACCATGTGACTAAATTCTGGCCAAAAGAATATAAGCAGAAGTGATGTTTAATCCTTGGAACAAGCCCTTAGAGGAAGGATATGTGCTTCTTCCCCCTTTTCCCTTGCTGTTGGTGGAAAGGCATCCCTAGGGGTGAGCCATCTTAGGAAGTGCCAACAAGAACATCATTCTAGATACGACAGACAAGTTAGAAGGAGTCTGGTATCCTACAGACTTTGCAGAGTCCAGCAAAGACTAAAATTTTTTTACCTGAGAAAGAAATAAACTATCATTTTTTACTGTCCATTTAACAAAAAATTTTAATTGTGATAAAATACACATAGCATAAAGTTTACCATCTTAGCCATTTTTAAGTGTATAGTTCACTAGTGTTAAATATATTCTCACTGTTGTGCAACCAACTTCCAGAACCTTTTCATCTTGCAATATTGAAACTCCACAATCATTAAACAGCTCCTCATTTCCCCCTTCTCCAGCCTCTGACCACCACCATTCTACTTTCTGTTTCTATGAATTTGGCTACTCTAGATTACTCATATAAGCAGAATCACACAGTGTTTCTGTTTTTGTGACTCACTTATTTAACTTAATATAATGTCTCCAAGGTTCATTCATATTGCAGCATGTGTCAGAATTTCCCTTCTTTTAAAGACTGAATAATGCTCAGCCTTTTGTACATATATTCAACATTTTTTTTTTATCCATTCATTGTCAATGAACACTGGGTTGTTTCCACATCTTGGCTATTGTGAATAATGCTGCTATGAACATGCCTGTAAACTTCTATCATTTTAAACCATTGCTATTTGGGAGCCTCTATTCCAGAAGTGAAACCTGTATTCTAACTCAGTAGCTTTTAAATGTTTGTTGTTTTTTAAAAAATGTAATCCATAGTAAGAAACGCATTTTACATTGTAACCCATAACACATATATATAATTATACCCACATATAAAGCATACATTTATGCATCTATATATGAAAGTAATAAATTTTCATGAGCAAACTTATACTTAGTACATGGGAGGCACTCTGGTCTTTTCTGTTCTCCCTTTATCTTAGGGAAAAAAGTTGGATCTTGATCCACTACATTGACTTTATGCCTCACTAATAAACTGTTACCCACAGTCTGAAAAACTGCATCATAACAGTTCTCATCCCCCATATGCTCAAATTGTTCTGGAACCTGAAGGAAGAAAAATAATGAGAACTGACCTTGAATGGACTACAATCTGTGGGGAAGCTATATAAATAATGTGCAATAAGCACAGTAAAGGAGACTCATTAAGTCATCTCTGCAGGAAGATAATGCTAATAATTTCCTAGCTAGTAACTCCCTGGAAGAGTGCAGAAACATCTTAGGGAGCTAGTACTTGAGCAGGTTCTTCAAGAAGGGCTAGGGATTCACCACATACAGAAATTGGGGACATGCATTCTTGGTAGAGGAAAAAGCAGATGTCATAACAGAGGTATAAATGAAGACAGTGCAAAGAAAATGGCATGTAATTTAGTGAAGCCACCATGTAGGGTGGGTGGGACAGACAAAAGGGGGCACACCAGAAGGGATATTATGTGCTAGACCAAGAGGTTTGGAGATTACCCAAGGGGAAATGGAAAGGTATTACTTAAAAGAAGGGAAGGGCATGGCTAGATTTTCCTATGAGAATGCAACTCTTTCCTGGAACTTAACACAGCTTTGATTGACTTCACTGTTTCCCCCCTAGATTCTTGAGGAGACAGACTCTTATATTTGTTTTACCTGGATTCATCACAGTCCTGACACATCACCCTGTGACTGTTCTACCTATCTTTCCATTCTACTATGCTATCATCTGGCCCCACGTTTGGGCTGTATGTTCCAGAAGGCATTCTTCTGTCTGGTCCAGGTGCACTCACCCCATGCTCACCTTGGATTTCTGGATAGAGGGCCAGGTAAAGCAGACCCCAGCGCAGCGTCGTAGAAGTAGTCTCGGTGCCAGCAAAGAAGAGGTCCAGGGTGGAGCAGACAAGGTTTACTTCATTGAAACTTGAAGTAGCATTACCCGTGTACTAGAAAGGACAACGTTTATTCGTTTACTCAGAAGATTCTGGCTGCCATAACACACAGTACTTCATCCTATGATAAAATTTGGAAGGAAAGGTCCCTAGGAGAAAGAACTTTTCCTTTGGCTTCCTCAGGAAGCAGAGGCTTATTACAGCAATGTCATTAGCATCTTCCTGTCTTCCAAGCTTTCAGCACTTGAGTGGATGAAGATCAAGACAACTATTTTCTTATGCTTGTAATTTGGAAGAAGCCAAGGGTACTTCAAAAAATTCATGGAAAAATAGAATTAAAAGGTGATATGTGATCTTTCCAGGAACTTTCTGAAGTACCCTCGTACTAGTACAGTGGTAGGAGATGTGAATAAGACAGACTTGGCTTCCAATATAACCGCATCAGTTAGTAGCTGTGTGATTTAGGGCAAGTTACTTAACCTCTCTGTGCTTCAGTTTCCTGTTTTATAAAAAGGAAATAATACACATCCTTTAAGATGACATTATGAATTATGTGAGATGCAAGAGCTCGTAGCAAATACTCAACAAATGTTTGTACTGGTAACATAAAGGAAAAATTGAATTCCTCTTATGTACAAGAATTCTCATATCCCCCAGTAATCTTTTCAACTGCTCGTCATGATTCTCCATTATCTTTACCATCCTCTTCTGAAGCTTCAAGTAGTAACATTGCTCTTAATGTTAATGGTTCCACACCTGCACACCATATAGCAAGCAAAGTCTCCTCCTCTGAGCAGAAAACAATGCTTTTATTAATGTTATGCCAGGAAGGTGAAATAAGAGGGGAGACAGAAAGAAATCCACCATTCTGCCCACTCTAGGAGGAGAACAAGTAACTGATGGGTTAAAAATTATGATACCGATTCAGTGATGAATATTAACCAGAGAGGTCACCGTGTTAAAGGCCATGCATCCATTTTGACTTTTTTCCCCACTTCTGGTTTATAATGTTGAAAAGTGGATGATATGGAGAGGAAGAGGGAATGCAAAAGCCCCACAAAGTCGTTAAGATTGCACTCTGGAATCCAACCCAGTGTTGCTTACGTTCTGCAGCAGAGGCTGATGGAAGGTGGAGGTAATTGGGCCCAGACCCAACTAATAGTAAAACAGCTCAAGACTCAATTGCTGTTTTTCCCTTTTTGCATAGCTCCTTCAGATATGGGTAGAGAGTAGAGGATGAGGGATGAAAAGGCAGTACTTGGGCATTTGCAGAGCCTCAAATCAAATTCCATTAAGCCCTCAGCTTTATTTCTAATTGTCTCATCAGCCTGAGTTAATGCTGCCCTACACTTTCTGAAATATTGCCCCTACTTTTACTCCCCTGTGGTAGGCTGAGTAATAACCCAAAAGATGTCTATGTCCTAATCCCTGGAACCTGTAGATGTTACTTTGTATAGCAGATGGATTTCACAGATGGGATTAAGTTAAGAATTTTGAGATGGCAATATTATCTTGGATTAACCCAGTGGGCCCAAGGTAATCAGAATAGTCTTTATAAGAAGAGAGAGGCAAGAGGGTCAAAGTCAGAGAAAGAAGATATAAGGACTGAAGTAGAAATCAGAGAGGAGAGAAGATGCTGCACTGCTGAATTTGAAGATGTGGGAAGGGGCTACAAGCCAAGGAACCTAGGCAGCCTCTAGAAGCTGGAAAAGTCACAGAAACAGATTCTCCCCCAGAGTCTCCGAAAGAAGCCAACCTGGCCAACGCCTTGACTTTAGCCCATTGAAACTGATTTCAAACTTCTGACACCCAGAACTGTAAGAGAGTACATTTCTGCTCTTTTAAGCCACAAAGTTTGTGGTAATTTGTTACAGCAGCAACTAAAAATATACCAAACATATCCCTATTGGATCTTTCAGAACAGAATACAGCAAACACCTCTGGCCTCCTCACCTTTGTCATTTCTTTGAGGTAAGCATCAATAAAGTCTCTTGTTTCAGCAGGATTCCAATCTCTCTTATGTTTTTCGATCATATGGGAAACAAACAATTTCAGTTTTTCCCAGTTGCTGAAGAGAGTCTGGTGAGGTCCAGGAAGGAATTTCATTATCCATGGAAAGACATTGTAGAGCTAATTGAGAAACACAAAACAGTCACAATGCCACTGTCCCACTTTTTAAGACAACAGGAACAATCTTCTCTTTCCGTCTCTTTTATCTGCTTACACGTAAGGCTTGGAGTCATTCGCAATGCCTCTTTTCTCTCCCCCCTCTCTTCTCACCCCTGCAGCAAAGCATTTCAGCTTTCCATCCAAAACACATCCAGCCTCAGACCACTTCTCACCACTCCAACTTGCCACCCTAGTTCAAACCATTTCTTACCTGATGCTGTAATAGCTTTCAATAGTTTTCCTGATTCCATTCTTAAGCCCATGCTCAGGATCACTCAACAGCTTAACCATATCATTTCTCTCCTTGGTTCTCGGTCCTCCAGTGGCTTTCCACTACGCCCAGACAAAGTCCTGTGTCATTCGTCAAGCCTACAAGTCCACAGAGCTGGCCCCTGCACACCTGTCTCCTCCTGCCTACTGCTCCCTGCCATCCTAGCCTTGCTCTCTGCAGTCCAGCCACAGTGGCCTCTTGTGACCACATCAAGGACCTCTTGTTTGGGGCCTCTGCAGCCGCTATTCCCTCTTCCTAGAAAGCTTTTCCTCTGAAATCCATATAACACCAGCCCCTCATTTTAGGGCTGTGCTTGGAGCTGTCTTACCTGGTGATCCTACAAGGGGCAGCACCCCTGGCATCCTCTGTCCATTCCCCTGTCCTCTTTGATTTTTCCTTCATGGTAATTATCGCTAATGTGTGTGTGTATTTGAATTTATTTGTCTCCCCCAATATAATGTAATCCCCATGTGGGTAAGACTTCACATTTTTTCCTGAAATAAAGTGGCTGTTGAATAAACTTTCTCTGGTATCTGATGGAAAATAGACAGCATATCATAATGGAAAATCTCCTAGATGTAGAATGAGACAGACATGGGTGTGACTATCGGCTCTGCTACTTTCTAGCTATGTAGTTTGGTAATAGAAATAATAATAATAATTACTTTGTTGATCCTTAGTTTAACTAGCTGCCTGTGGGCTCTAAGATGATTCTGGGGACAGATGATGTAAGATAGAGCCCTTCACACAGAGCCGGTGGACACTGGCCTGCACTTTCCTGCGCACTCCCACGCCAGCATGCACATGCCATGTTGCTTCATCTTATCTTTATGGGGTTGTTGTAAAAATTAACATAGGAAAAGTATGTGGTATATTCTGGGACTCCAAAAAATGCTTATTACGCCTACTCCACAGGCTTTTAGTTCCCTCCCAGGAACTTCTTTTTCCTGAGACATGTACTCAGAAGTCACCCAGGCACCCACTGCACTCTCATGACTTCCTAGACTGTCTTACCAGGAGGGAAGCAAATGGAATTGCTGAACTGGGGACGACTGTGACTAAGAGTGAAAACAAGGAATTCAAAACAACCCTGACAGTAGTACTAACAGCTCACACTCGTTATGCCCTTCTCACGTGCCAGGAATCATGCCAACCGCTTTATCAGTTTTGGTATGATGGCTTCATAAAGCTCAAAAAAAAAAAAAAATCCTTGTCAGGAATAAATAAAAATAAATCCACTTCCAGATACATCATAGGGAAACTAATAATAACTGAAAACAGTGGAGACTTAAGTGTAGTCAGAGAGAGAGGAAAAAAATATTTTTGAAGTAACAGCAATTACATTTCTGAACAGCGATTACATGGAGTTGACTCTCCACGGCATCGATGGGAACCCGGAGGATGGTGAAATGACATTTTCAATGTGCAAAGAGAAAAAAATAGTCAAAATAAAAATATTTAATTAGAGCAAAATAAAGATATTTTTGAAGAACCAAAATTGAAAGAATTTGCCATGAACTGACCCCCACGAGAGGAAATTCAGGAGGAGGCTACGAAGTACAAGATGGAATGACAACAAAAGAAACGGTAAATGTGTGGGTAAGTATAGGCAGACACTGGCTGCAGAAAACAATAATAATCATGCACTTACAAATTTTCAAAGTGGAACAAATGAAAGTATATTATTAAATTATCTAGTAGCCTAGATAATTGATCAGAGGTAGTGTTCTAAAGTTCTTGAATTATTATGGAGGAGGATAAAGATATTAATTTTATATGTTCACAGTTTAATTACACATATTAAAAGTTTACAGTAAAGAAAGACTAAAGTAATAAAATAAGCCTGTTCATCTTCTAAACTAGCACAGAGAAAAATAAAATGAAAAGAACATTTAATCATAATGAGTCAAAAAAGCAGAAAAGACCAAATAAACAGAGACCACGAGCCAGGGATACAGAGAAGCAGCAGCATTAGAGAGCTCTGGGTCTCTAGAGGTATGTCTGGGCCATGTGGCTCCCTTGGCCCCTCGCTCGATCCCCCAGGAATGGAAAACTGGCCCTCGTGCAGGGGGTTGTGGGGACAGTGGGCATGTGACCCAGGTCAGCCAGTCTCGGTGCTGCTGACATGGCCGTGTGGCTCAGATGCTCTCTCCACCCCCCAGCGTGGTTGAGAAGGGAGGGGCTGGGGGCTACACCCCCTCCCCTAACACAGCTTCAGTTCTGGGGGCATTGACACCCCAGATTACATCCTCCCCCAGCACCAAGCCAAGGGCTAAATTGGATCCCCCCTGGAAGGTTTCAGGATCCAGGCTCCCTGGGGAAGGGAATGCAGGGTTACTGGGTCTGGGCCCAGAGGTGGCAGCACCAGAGAGAAGGATTCAAAATCCCTCCCTGTTGCAGAGGGATTTGAGAGCCCCACAATGGCTTCAGTGCCAACTTTGTAGCTGAGCCCTGCCAACCCACTGGCCCCTGAGGGGTACAATCCCCAAAAGCCAGCCCGGGTTACCACCAGCTATAATCCCCGTGCAAGGTGGTGATGAAGGCTCTGTGGAAATGTCAGTGTGCATGGCCATTGTGGCAGCCTGTGGATGCTGTCAAACTGGACCTACCAGATTACCACAAAAGTATAAAACAGCCTGTGGACGTGGGGACTATTAAGAGGAGACTTGAGAACAATTACCACTGGGCTGCCATAGAGTGTATGTAGGATTTTAACACCATGTTCACCAACTGTTAAATTTGCAACAGACCCACTGACAATATTGTCTTGATGGCACAAACACTGGAAAAGGTCTTTCTACAGAAAGTAGCATCAATGCTGCAAGAGGAACAAGAGCCTGTGGTGACCATCCCTAAGAACAGCCACAGAAGGGGCCAAGTTAACAGTGCCCCGGGGCAATATTACCAGTGCCCATCATGTGCCTGCTGTTTCTTCTGTGTCCCACACACCCTGTATACCTGAGATACCTACCACTGTCCTCAACTTTCCCCATCTGTTGGTCATCTCTTCTCCCCTTCTCAAGTCTCTGCATTCTGCTGGATCCTAGCTCCTTGCTATTTTTGCAGGTCCCCCAGCCCAGCCCTTTGCCAAGAAAAAAGGGGTAAAGCATAAAGCAGATACTACCACCCCTATACCTGCAGCCATCCTGGCTCCTGGTTCCCCAGCTAGCTCTCCCGGGGGCCTTGAGCCTAAGGCAGCATGGCTTCCTCATATGTGTACAGAGAGTGGCCACCCCATCAAGACTTGCCTGACTCTCAGCAACAACACCAGAGCTCTAAGAAAGGAAAGCTATCAGGACAGTTAAAGCATTGCAATGGTATTTTGGAGGAGTTACTTTCTAAGAAGCATGCTGCCTATGCCTGGCTTTTCTATAAACCAGTGGACGCTTCTGCTTCTTGGCCTTCATGACCACCATGACATCATTAAACACCCCATGGACCTCAGCACTGTCAAGCAGAAGATGGAGAATTGTGGCTACCAGGATGCACAGGATTTTGCTGCTGATGTGCAGCTTATGTTTTCAACTGCTGTAAGTATGATCCCCCAGACCACGATGTCGTGGCCATGGCCTGAAAGCTACAGGATGTATTTGAGTTCTGCTATGCCAAGGTGCCAGATGAGCCACTAGAACCAAGGCCTTTACCAGTCTCTACTGCCTTGCATCCTGGGCTGGCCAAATCATCTTTAGAGAACTCCAGTGAGGAAAGTAGCAATGAGAGCTCCTCTAAGGAAAAGGAGGAGGAGGAGGAGGAGGAAGAGGGTGAAAGCTCAAACTCAGAGGAGGAAAGGGCCCATCGCTTGGCAGAATTACAGGAACAGCTTAGGGCAGTACATAAATAACTGGCTGCCCTGCCCCAGGTCCAGTATGCCAGTCCAAGCAGAAGAGAGAGAGAAAAGGAGAAGCAGAAATGGAAGGCAGAGCAGCACCAAGGTCGAGCTGGGGTTGATGAAAATGACAAGAGGCCTCGGGCACCATGCCCCCCTCAGCCCAAGAGGCCCAAGAAAGCAAGTGGCAGTGGGGGTGGAAGTGCAGCTACACTAGGCCCTCATGGCTTTGGACCTTCTGGAGGAAGTGGCACCAAGCTCTCCAAAAAGGCCACAGAGTCAGCTCCCCCTGCCCAGCCTACAGGTTATGATTCAGAGAGCCGGCCCATGAGCTATGATGAGAAGTGGCAGCTGAGCCTGGACATGAACAAATTACCTGGGGAGAAGCTGGGTTGACTCGTGTATGTGATCCAAGCCAAGGAGCTCTCATTATGTGACTCAAACCCAGAAGAGACTGAGATTGATTTTGAATGCTCAAGCCATCCATGCTTATTAGATAGCTTGAGTGCTACGTCCTTTCTTGCCTACAAAAGAAGGCCCGGAAGCCCTACACCATTAAGAAAGACAAAGGAGGAACTGGCTTTGGAGAAGAAGTGGGAATTAGAAAAGCAGTTACAAGGTGTCAGCGGGCACTTTAATTCCATCAAAAAGCCCCCGAAAAAAGCAAATGAGAAAACAGAATCATCCCCTGCTCAGCAAGTAGCAGCAGGGTCAGGCCTCAGTGGTTCCAGTTCCAGCTCAGATTCCAGCTCCTCCTCACATACCAATGATTCAGACTCAGGCTAAGAGGCCAGGCCAGATGGGGCAAGAAGGCTCTGCAGGACCAAGCTCATAGACCACCCTGCCCACTTTTCCCACCCCCCC